GCAAACCATTTTTCTTGTTATTTACCTAGTTCAGAGATTAATAATTAACCACGTCCAAGCTTGGTTGCTTAGTTCATCATTAAAATGGAGGTTAGAGTTCACAAAGTATATTAACTTCATACTTTGTTGAGGTAATTTAATCTCTAGTATTAGTGGAAATAACGTGTGAATATCTTTGTGATTATTCTGTAAATATTCTCTAGGCTAGGCTATGTTAAGAAGTTGTATGATTGATATACTTTCCTAACTTAGCTTATTTTCTACCTAGTTTTGCTTTGCTATTTATGTAAATCTTCTAGCTGTACAAGGAAAGATAGAATTAGCTTTGTGTATATATCCCAAGGCTACGACCAAAATTAATAAAATGAAAATCAATTCCACAAAACTCTATTTTGGTATCAGAGTGACTCAAGAACAGGAGAGACGACCATATTTTTTAATCATTCTCCAGCGATTAAAACCTTCGACCTTCAAACATGAAATCCGACAATCGACACCTCGTCATGGGTGACGACAAGACCACAAAACCCCTCGACTCCACATCTCCATACTACCTCCAACCCTCCGACGGACCACAAATCACAATCTGTCCAATTGTGTTATGTGGTGAGAACTACAATGAATGGGTTCGTTTGATGCGCAATAATTTTCATGCAAAGAACAAGCTAGGCTTCCTCGATAGAACCATAGACAAGTTGACAAAAGGAAATCCAGAAGAGTCCTTATGAGTGAGGGTTAATTGCACTCTCGTGGGATGGATTCATAATACCCTTGATCCAGTCCTACGCTCATCCGTCCCACAACCTGACGATGTGAAAGACTGTAGGATGATATTCGACGATGTTTTTTGATAGGAAACGGTCCAAGAATCCATGAGTTGAAGGCACTTTTGAGTGATTGCAAGCAGCGCGACAACCTGGTGGTGAATTACTATAACGAATTATGGAAGATATGGGATAAACTTGCGGGATATTCTACTATCCTGACATGTACTTGTGCCGCTGCTACTGAATTTGCTAAAGAAAAGGAGAATGAAAAGGCACGATAACTTTGAGCACAAATATGATGCTAAATAATGTATTATATGTTCTAGATCTTACTTTTAATTTGATGTCGGTGTCTCACTTGCTTGTCTGTTTACATTATTCTGTCACTTTTACTAATAAGCTTTGCATCATACATGATCGCACTTTGAGGACTTTGATTGGAGCGGGTGAACAATGTGACAGGGTTTACTGGTTTCAGCCTTTGCGACAACTTCGGGCTTATCAAGCAATTGTGGGAGACAAACGACAATTGTGGAATCAAAGACTGGGACACCCCTCTCGGAAAGTAGAATTTCTTTTGCCTGATATTATTAGGAGTAATGGAAATAAGGATGATAGCGTTATCCATGAACCTTGTGATATTTGTTTAAGGGCCAAGCAAACTAGAAGCAGGTTTCCTTTGAGTAATAATAAAGCCAAAGATGTCTTTGATTTAATCCATTGTGATATATGGGGTGCTTATACTTGGTCTGCTAGTTGTGGTCATCATTATTTTTTAACCATTGTTGATGACTGTTCTCAAGCCGTATGGGTTTATTTGATGTCTGCAAAATCTGAGGTGCCTCAACTTATTAAGGATTTTATAGAATGGTTAAAACCCAATTTGATAAGCATGTTAAAATTCTAAGAAGTGATAACAGAAGGGAATTTACATGTCTTCATCGGTTTTATGCTGACAATGGTATTATTCATCAAACCTCTTGTTTCGACACTCCACAACAAAATGGGAGGGTAGAACGTAAACATAGGCATATTCTTAATGTGGCTCGGGCATTACTTTTTCAAGCTAATCTTCCCATTTCTTTTTGGGGGGAGAGTATAATGACGGCTGCCTATATAATAAACCGAACCCCTACCCCATTGCTCAACGGAAAAACACCTCACGAAATTCTCTTTGGTTCACCTCCTAAGTATGATGCCATTCGTGTATTCGGTTGTCTTTGTTTTGTCAAAAATCAACCTCATGTGAAGGATAAGTTTGGTACTCGCTCTCATCGATGTGTATTTGTGGGGTATCCATTTGGTAAAAAGGGGTGGCGTTTGTATGACTTAGAGCAAAAGGTGTTCTTTAAATCTTGAGATGTTGTTTTTTGTGAAAAACAATTCCCTTTTGCTAGTGAAATCAATTTGAATAATAGTGATGATGTGTTTGAAAATGAGAAGTATTATGACACTATGACTTATTTTGAGGATACACCCTTAGCAAGGGGAGTGAGGAGCACTCGGTTGTGGCAGGAGGAAATGGTGTCGGGGTTGTGGAGGTTATGAAGCACATCACACCACCTGTGGGTGGCGACTTGGAGGTTGTCCAGCAGCTTGGTGTTGGTGCAACTTCGAATAATGGGGACGTTGTGATTAATGAAGCAAACGTTCCGCAAGAAACTGGTAGAGGTCATCGAATAAAGAAACATTCTAGTAAACTCAAGGGCTTCATCACCAACACTGTTCGAGTTATAAACCTTGTCACATCACCTATAACTGCTCCGTCAAAGTCCTCAGGTACTCCTTTTCCCATTGCTTATTATGTAACTTGTGATAAGTTTTCTGTGAGACACACCCGTTTTTTGCAGCAATTACTGCAGGCAATAAACCCACATCATTTAAAGAAGCTGTTAAGGATCATGGTTGGCGGAAAGCAATGCAAGAAGAAATAGATGCCCTTGAGAGAAACGTTACTTGGACTTTAGAGAACCTTCCACCCGGGAAGAAGGCAATCGGGTGTAAGTGAGTCTATAAAGTCAAGTATCGATCTGATGGTGCGGTTGAACGATTAAAGGGGCGCCTAGTAGTGTACGGGAATCGACAAGTTGCATGAATTGACTTCAATGAAACATTTGCCCCTGTAGCTAAAATGGTCACGGTTCGAACATTTTTGGCTATAGCGGTGGTAAGAAAGTGGGAACTGCACCAGATGGATGTGCATAATGCCTTTCTACATGGAGATCTTGATGAGGAGGTATATATGCAACTACCTCCTGGCTTTAATTCTGCTGCTTCGGGTAAGGTGTGTTGATTACGTAATTCATTGTATGGACTCCAGCAAGCGCCTCGAAATTGGTTTGCTAAACTCTTGACTGCTTTGAAGGATATTAGTTTTCAACAATCTTATGCTGATTACTCATTGTTTAGTTATTCCAAGGGTGATGTTGCTTTACATGTTCTTGTGTATGTGGATGACATTATAATCATAGGTTCTTCTTCTTTGGCAATCGAAAAATTCAAGAAACAACTAAGTGAGAGATTTCATATGAAAGACTTGGGTGTTCTCAAGTATTTTCTCGGTATTAAAGTAACACGTGGGAAGGACGGTTTGTTTCTTTCACAACGCAAATATGTTCTTGACATTGTAAGTGAGGCCAGATTACTTGGAGCACGCCATGCTTCTACATCCATGGAACAAAACCACCATCTTGCCACCATCAATGGCGCCGTCTTTGATGATCCGGAGAAGTACATGCGTCTTGTAGGGTGCCTAATTTACTTGACGATTACACGGCTTGAGTTGTGTTACTCCGTACATATATTAGCTCAATTTATGGGTGATCCTCGTGTTGAACATTGGGACGCAGCTTTGAGAGTTTTACGGAATTTGAAATGTTGTCCTGGACAGGGTATTTTGCTGCACGGGGAGACTAATTTCAACTATATGCCTTCTGTGATAGTGACTGGGCAAGTTGCCCTATGACTCGGAGATCATTGACTGGTTACTTTGTTTTATTAGGCTCTTCTCCTGTCTCTTGGAAAACAAAAAAACAGCCAACTGTTTCTCGATCTTCTGCGGAGGCCAAGTATAGGTCTATGGTCACTACTACATGTGAGTTAAAGTGGTTGAAATCCCTTTTGGCTTGTTTTGGGATACAACATGAGCATCTCATGCGATTGTTTTGTGATAGTCAAGCTACTCTCTATATAGATGCTAATCCGGTTTTTCATGAAAGAACGAAACATATAGAAATGGATTGTCACTTTGTTCGTGATGCCTTGCAAGATGGAACAATTTCTACGTCTCATATTCGGACCGGTGCACAACTAGCGGATATTTTGACCAAAGCTCTTGGTAAATCACAGTTTTATTTACTCTCTCGCAAGTTGGGCATTTGCAATCTCCTTGCTCCAACTTGAGGGGGGGTATTAGTGGAAATAACGTGTGAATATCTTTGTGATTATTCTGTAAATATTCCCTAGGCTAGGCTATGTTAACATGAGTTGTATGATTGATATACTTTCCTAACTTAGCTTATTTGCTACCTAGTTTAGCTTTGCTATTTATGTAAATCTTCTAGCTGTACAAGGAAAGATAGAATTAGCTTTGTGTATATATCCCAACGCTACAGCCAAAATTAATAAAATGAAAACCATTTCCACAAAACTCTATTTTCTAGTAATGAGACCACATTCTATCAATAAGAAAATGTGATGAGTGATGTTAAGTGGTTAGAAACTTGTAATTAACACCGCATTCATGAAAGAGCAAGACATTTTTTCAGAAAAATCCTTCTGACCTACACGTAGTCTGTTTATTTATTTATTTATTTATTTAGTCACTGATTTCTTCTGAGAGTACCTTTTTCATGTAATTGCCATAATGTTTATAATCTTTTTTATGTACTTTTCGAAATGCTTATATCACTTTTCAAGTAATTGCCAAAATGCTTGAATCACTTTTCTTCTTGTAATTAGTAAATAAAGATTGCTAAATAAAATAATTCACCTTCTAGCTTTCTACAATTCTTGGTCATCCTTGCATTACTCAGAAATAACAACTATTAACTTTTTCATTAAATTAACTTCTCAATGAAAAAATATATATTTATTTAAATTTACCCCCAACACAAAGTTCCCTTTTTAACCATCATCCTGGCTTCACTGATATACCCAACTCACAAACAAAACAATTTTTTACTTGTTAAACATAAATACAACTCAAAGAGGCTACCAAGATCACAAAAAGACTGAACAAAAATGACCATTCTCATTGAACATAAAATAAATAATAAGCATGGTACAAGGTAGGCTTTATCACATTGAATTATATAAAAATGACAGCATCATTATTTCCTCTAGTCTCGTATTAACAAATGAACTGTAACTCCTACATCTAAAACCCCGTACAAGTAAAAAATAAAATAAAACAAAATCTATACGACTGAATTCTCTATAACCTGCCTCAATCTTAATTCCTTATCTCCTTCATCTCATCAGTATAAATAAACATAAGATGACTAAGGGAGTTGATAGCCATTTGGATGATTTTTCTGCCATCTCCAAGCGACTTGAAGGCTCTCCTTAAGATCAGTGTATTGAGCAGTCCAATTCAACTCGCGGTTTATCTTGGAAGGATCACTGTAAACTTCAGCATAGTCTCCTGGTCGTCGACTTAAGTAATCTACCTTAATGTTGACACCTGTTGCTTTCTTGCAAGCTTCAACAAACTCTTTCACTGATCTACCTGATAATTAAAATGACAGAATAGTCTTAGAAACGATGCGTGTCTTCATCATTGTCAGTTAAAAAAAATTATAGGACAGGCACCTTTGTTGAACATAGGGAGTAAAAGTTTGACTATTTTGTTGATAGTTTTACATTGCATTTACAAATTAGCCTATCAAAGTTGATTATCTGTTGATTTGGGTGGCACTTTTTCCAAAGTTGATGACTTGAGAGGTATGCAAATACTGTGATTTAGAAGGTAGTTTTGCAAATACACATGATTTAATGAGTTTAATGAGTATAAACACACGCGCGTGCGCGCGCACACACAAAACCATAATTTTAATAGGCATAACATGAATGATTGGTCTACATAAACATGCATGTATCAAGTTAAATTTTGTTCTCGAACATTTCTTTTCTGCTGCCCAAGTAAAAAAGTCTAGGTTTCGATTTTCTGCTAGGTTTTTCAATACGAAAGAATTGAGATTTGACCTCTTTTAACTTAGGCTGTCAGCCAAAATGAAACATTTCATGCACATGAATATTTTCACACGCACAATTATCTCAGACTAGGCTTTCAAAACTTATTAAATAAATCACATATAATAAATTCAGAGAAAAAAGAACAAAACCAAAGAGAAATTTTAGATGATAGAGAAGAAATCAAATGATATAATTGCTCAGGCATTCTGAAAAACAATTATTGCAAAATGAAGTGAAGGATCTAATTAAAAATGAAAGCAAGTGATATTATTAGCATTGCACACCCTACACCAGCACACAAGGTTGTCTCGGATGCTAATAAATAACAATAGAGCACACTAGTGAAAGGATGTTGTGTGCCTCTTTATGTGAAAAAGATAAATGCAAATGGGAACATTCAAATGCTAAGTTGTATGAAATGGCAACATGCTAGTATAAGGTAGCTGAAGCGATGATTTGGCTATCATTAGTATAAGGTAGCTGAAGCGATGATTTGGCTATCATTATTGGCTGTTAATACAGGCCTAAATTTCATATGTGAGATCATTTTGGGAAAGTTAGGTCTAGCAAAAATAGATGGTTATAATTTGCATCACAATGAAGAAAAAAAAGAAATAAAATTTATACAAGAAAATATGGGACTATCGGATTACCTTTTCCAGTACCAACATTATAAATTCCAACTTTATTAGGCTTTGCATGGTTAAGGGCTTTCACATGAGCATCAACCAAGTCAGTGACATCGATATAGTCCCTTACACAAGTCCCATCAGACGTTGGATAGTCTGTTCCTTTAACCTACAAAAAGTAACCGAAAGAATTATGTCTACGTTGTACATGCAATAATCAACAATGAGTAAATTTCCACAAGAACCCCAAAAACTACGGGGGGTTTCCCCACAAAACTCCCCTGAACTTTGTTTTTCCCAATAAACCCCAAACTTTTTCCCTCACAAAACCCCCAAAACTCCAGAGTCTCAAATAAACCCAAAACCTTTTCCCCACAAAAACCCCCAAAAAGCAAGGAGAAGCGGAACCCTATAGAAAACAAGGAAAGAACAAAAGTTGGACAGATAGGCTCCTCCAATAGCAAGATACATTTGTTGTGGTTTTTGTGGGATAAGTTAAAAGTTTTGGAGGATTATTTTGAGACGCTTCGGAGTTTTAGGGGTGTTTTGGGAAAACAAACTTCAGCGAGTTTTGTGGGGAAAGCCCCAAAATAACTTTTTCTATTTTTTTCCTTTTGTTTGGGGTGGGGCTTGGGTGGTTTGAAATTTAACCACAATAATTCCGTGAACTAAGTTACGGAAAAGATATTTACCTTAAGGCCCGAAATGACTCCTAATGCTGCATCGAAGCAAGCTCCAGAAATACGTCCATGTTCTCGGAGTTCTGGCCTTGGAGCTTCTCCTAATCTTCCTTCTGGATCCGATCCAATGACATTGAAGTATCTACAATAGCAGGTAACTTGTAATTAATCACTATTCAGAATTTAATTATTAGTTTTAATGTGGAAGAGTGACCAACCTTAGAATCATGACAGCCATGTCAGTGTTCTTTGAGTAATCCAATATGATGTCCTCTGCCATTTTCTTGGCCTTCCCGTATGGATTAATAGGAAACTGCATTTAAGGAATACGACTAAAATTAAAGACCTGATGATACACCCAGAGATGAATAATTTCACGCTCGTGCGTGAATGCGTTTATTGTCATTTTCGTGCTACTGTGGTTCTGTGCACGATTTTCATAACTTTTGATTGGATAAATTGCGGTTAGAACCCCTGTATTATCACCCAATTGCAGATATAACCCCAGCAGTCTATTGGTGCGGATAAACCCCCAGTAGTTTTATTGGTGTGGATAGACCCCCATACTCTTGCCCCAAGTGTAGATAGACTCCCTGAGCGAAACTTTTGACACTTACCCTAGGTCTCTTAAAAATATTAAATTAAAAAAAACTCAAAGAGTCAAAACAGTTCACTTAGGAGGTTTATCCACACCAATAGAGCTACATGGGGTCTCCGAAATTAACCTTTTATTACCAATGTGCGATGTTCGTGTCATGCAAGTGCCAGTGAGTCAGTGTAATTAACCGAACTAGGGAATAATACGATATGATTTTCTACAACTTTTAATAAATAAAGTTAAATGCCCCATTTCATAAGGGATAGAAGCAGCCATTTGAACTAACCTGAGGAGTTTGTTCTGTTATTGGCATTTTCTTGGGTTCTCCATAAGTGGCACATGTACTCGAGTATATGAGTGTTTTGACACCATGAGCAGCCATAGCCTCCAGAACAGTCAAAGTGTTTGCCGTTATGTTATGATAGTACCTGATTCAAAATGGAATTGTTTATTTGATGCCAGAAAAAAAAAATTCAAACTTTCAGGATTAATCTCAATAATTACAAAAAAGTTCATTTATCTCGTTTCATAATGGTAAGCAAGCATACCTAAGAGGTTCAAGTGTACTCTCACCAACATAAGCAACAGCGGCAAAGTGCATAACAGCATCAAATTTGTTCTCTGAGAATATCCGATTGACCTAGAATCGATTAAGTAGTTCAACTGAAGGCCGGTTTATGCAAGCATTTTTCAACAACTATAAAACATATAAACTTATCACGATAAGGATACAACTTTGCCATCTCCTAAATCAGCATAAATGAACTGAAGCCTTCCAGGTTCTGGAAATAGGCCCTGGAGAATCTTAACGGCTCCAATGTTTCCCCTTGAAAGATTATCCTGGGAAAATCATGGAAAAGTATTAGATAATGATTTTCGATAGCCCTTTAATATAAGCATAATTATAATAAAAAAAGATCAATAGAAATAGAAATGGGAAATTACCACTATAGTTACTCGATAAGAATCCTTAAGGAGACGAAGAGCAGCATGTGAGCCTATATAACCAGCACCTCCAGTAACTAAGACATGTGTTACCCCAGGGTCCAGACGAGAGAACTGTAAGGTAAAAAAGATTCAACGGGCACATATAGGAAAATTAACAATGAGAGCAAGATAACCTATGTAGCAGTTCAAACATAACTATGAAAAACGTAAAGGTCTAATACAATTAGAATTTGGGGTGGGTGGGGGGGGGGGGGAGGTTTTAAGCAAGATTTTCATATATGAGATAAGAGTTTCATTATTAGTGCCTGAGATGGGGCTGTGTGCGTCAGTATGTACAAGTGTCGTGGTGACTTTTTAAATTAATCTAACTTTTCTTTCAGGGGGCAGTTGTTGTTGGTGCATTTGTGGGTTTGCATGTGTAGTGAATTTTGAGTATGATCTTATGCCATCTGAACAGTAACTGGAAACCCATAGTCCAAATTTTCAAAGTCTTTTAAGACTTATTACACATGACATGTGGCATGAAAGATTATTAAATGACCAAATGCTTCTTCCAACGGAGAAAAGTTGAATACTCATTTCATTAGTTCAGCTCTATATTGGCCGGGTACTTCGATCATGAAGCTGTACCCATATCCAACACGGCGAGGCTTCTTACACGCTCCTTAAATGTATGCATACATTTATTCAGAAATGTACATAATCATAAAATACATGTTTTAATTTAAAACATTGATCACCCACTTCCTCAACATATATCATACACTTCACACCCACTTTTGCAACTAGTCGGACAAGGGTCGGTTCCTTTCACCCACTTCCTGGACATATATCCTACACTTCGCATCCGCTTTTGCAGTTTGTTGGACAAGGTTTGGGCTCCTTTCAGCCATATTCAGTTAAAAGTTATATGATTCCAAAGGGTTTTGTGCATCTAGCTCAGAACTATGATTTCAGCTCGTGTTAGCCGCGTCCTCGTACCTACCTTTTACAAATTTGACGTGTTCCTGTACCCGTGCAACTTAGGTTCAACTTAATTCCACACTTTTTGGTTATCTCTTTCTCTAGTATATGATATCCATGTAAACATATCAACTTGGAATTTAATTCATGTATGACAGTATTAGAGATGGTAACATAGATTAATCTTAAAACATTTACCACGCTCTTGCTGCTAAAACCAGGAGATTGCTTTAGAATGATTATGCACAGGGCTGTAAGAACAGCAGCCACGAGAATTTTTGCAAGAATATGAGGCTTTCTTCTTGTATCCAAGTAATCCATTCCTATGAAAGAGAAATTTTTACATCATTTGAGAACTAAAATTTAATAAAAGAAATTGACAGACCACTGCCATTTTTACATATATTGATGCATGAATCATGATACTAAATCCTACAACTGATGTAAATGTGTAAAAGAAGTTCCATGGCCAGCATCAAATGGTTCTCGGTAGACATACATCATCCTACGTATGAAGAAAGACTTTTTTCTGGAAGAACAGGATTTCTTGAAGGTCAGTTCTATTGAAAAGTACAAGGTTTAGAGAATCATTACAAGATGGCTCAAATTAATTTTTCGTTTTCATGAAAAATAGAGGGGGAAGTCTCAATTTTCTCAAACCATAGATGATTGCAAGTGTAAGTCTCGATAAACTTTCTTAAAATTGCAGGATGTAAAAGAAAACTTGATTTCCATGGAAAGACGTCTCTCATAAACGCTAAATAACAACATATGAAAAGACACATTCGTAGCTATCAAATTAAATTTACGACATCGACTGGCATTTTCACATTGAGCGAGCACCAAAGGCTAACCGCATAATCAAAATTGGGAAATCCATAATTCAATTTAGTAACCAACAACTTCTAATCCATGTAGCAAATGCATATGATTCTAATAGAGGAACTCAAAATTGAAAGCAGAAATCAAATAATCAATGAAGCAAACCTCCAAAAGGCCAAGATCTTGTAGGCCTAGTCTGAGCTCTATTCCTATTAGGGAGCATGTGACTAGTGATTCCCTCCCTCAAGAACCACCAGAGCCAAATTGGCTGCTTCTAATTTAAGTAATAATCACCCACGGCCCCACGCATGCAATTCTACAATCAAATTCCAAGTTTCAGAATTCATATAAAATTGCAAAGCAAAAACTGCTCAAAGCAACAACAATTTATACTTTAATTTGTCGACTTAAACTATTTCATACGGCAAGAAATTGAAAGGAAAAGGCTGTATATATGCAAATGGAAAAGCCCTGAAGTCTAATTTCTGATCATGAATTTCCTTTATCAAAATCGATAACAAATCAAGGGAAAAAAACATATCAGATGCGGGATTTCTGTACGAAAGAAGAACCTGTTTAGCAACAGCCCATCATCAAAAATAGAAACAAAATCCAAGAAATAAAAATTACAATTATAGCAAAGTTCTCATGCATAACTACTAGAACGCATAATATAAAAAGGCTAAACACTCACAACAACAACAACAAAAAGATAAAAAGGAAAAAAAAAAAGAACGGATCAAAACTACTGGAGCCAGTAATATGTTCTATGAAAGAGAAAAAAGAGGAAGACCTTACCATTTGATAAAAAATTAATTAATTTTTTAATGGAAAATCAAACGCCGGGGATAAAAGGATTTTTAAAGGGCAACACGCGATTGATGAAAGCGAAAATGTTA